TCCTCAGGAGCAGTAGGGGGAGTGGTGTGGGGAACTGCAAGACCGTACTGCAGCCAGTTCTTTTTTCCATAAGGGCAAAGACTCTTGACTTTCCCTGGGAAATGTTGGTGCTTCATCTATGCCTGGTCTCTTCCCCATCTCCCCTCAGGTCAGTGAAGTTTAACAAGGGCTACACTGCCCTTAGTCAGAGTCCAGATGAAAACCTGGTGTCCCTCGACTCTGACAGGTGAGTGCTGTCTTTGGAACTATCCCTTGGTGGAGTGATATGGGTAAAACAGCAGATCTCTTCCAAGAACCTTCATGCATGTTCCAGGGCTGTCTTCAGAGCATTGTCCCTTCCCAGGATAGTTTGGTTAAAGCACTCAGGCGATCATGCTGTTCTTGGATATGGAGTACCAACCTTGTGTGGGGGAATCATCCTCCCCTGTTATGTCTTCAGTGTTAGTGACAGTGACCCCGTCCCTGCTTGAGCCCATGGAAAGAGCCACTGGTACTCATGACAGATTCTGGGTTTCAGTTCTCTGATGTGTGGTCTTCATTGCACAAGTCCTCCAGACCCCCTTGCATGCTCTCCACAGGCATCCCCCTGAACTGACTGTTTTCCTCTTCTAGTGATGGGGAGCTGGAATCCAGATACTCCTCCGGGTATTCCTCTGCAGAGGCAAGTCCAGAGCGCCTTTCTGCACGGGGCCAGGCTGCAGGCAGCATCGCCACCACTGCCAAATGCTTGTCTTGTGCCTGCTGTATGCACGGCACTGTGCCAGACTTACGGTCTGTTCTCCAATCTTCTACTCTGTCTTAGTCCCTCAGCAGAGGTATAGGTGTCTGAGGAGGGCTGTTGAAAATTCAGGAGACCATAGGGCTGAAAAGGACCTCACAAATCTTCTAGTGCTGGTCACCACTTAGAAAAATCCTTTTGGGAGGTAGGGGAGAATAAAAAAAGAGAGAAAGAGAAAAGGAATCCTCTTGCCAAACCCTGCCTAAGTGTTCGCCAGCCTCTGCTTGCTTGTGCCTGGGTACTCACTATCTCCAGGAAGCTTTCCCGCCTGCCCTTCCTCTAAAACAGACACATACACACACGTTCCTTTTTCAGGTAGCTCTTAGATAAGGCAATATTATTGACTTGAAATGTCTCCTGCACGCTGGACTCAGTGGTCCTAGGCCTGTCTTCCAGTGTCACCCAGTAATTCTGGTTTCCCTTCCTTTGATTGCCTTTTATCTGAGATCAGCATTCCTGTCCCTCCCTTGGCCATCCTCCACCAAGGTTACTTTCTTCCAGGCCAAACAACTTCAGTTGTTCCATCTATGGGAACTCAGACTAAGATACTACTGGGCTGGCCTTTTGGACATGTTTCCAGAGTGACAGCCCCAGACACACAAGGACTGTGTCTGTTTTGGCATGTGCAGCTTTCTGCCTTAGAGGTGAAGTGCTGGAGACATGACTATATGCCACCGGTATTTTTCCCTTGTTCTTCTGGAAACCCTTGGCCACTCCCTGAGTTTCTGCCAAAGAGAATAGAGGCAGTCTGTAATTTTTATCCTTGACTACCTGGGTGCCTAACATTGTTAAACCTAAGAAAAGAAAAATTAGCCAAGAGCCAGGGAAAGTTCTATGCCATTCCCAGCCTCCTGTTCCTTCTGCTCAGCAGAACTGGTAAAGCTAGGCTGACAGGTTCTGCTTTGCAGGGAAGGACCTCTGCTAGCATGGAAGGCTAACATGTCTAACCAGCAGTGCAGACAAAGCTGCTCCCCACTTCGTTTCAACGTAACTCATGTTCTATTCTACCCCATTGTTCTGGTATCATTGTCCCATATTCTTCAGCCTTCACAAGGACCAGTCTCGGTTCCCAGTGGGAGCGGTCAGGCCATTGACTTTCAAACATAATCTGGAATCTGATATTTACGTCAGATGCTTTGGGATTCTTTAGTGGGAACAGCTCCCCTGGGGGTTATTGACATTGCAGCCTGTACAGTATTGGCTCAGGGCACTTGGGGCCCCTCACTGCTGGGTGAGGCACAGGTAGAAAAAGGTATCGCTTCCTCACATAGTCCAGTGATGTGTGGAGTTGGCCTAAGTAAGGGTGGAGCATGAACAGGAAGTTCTGGTAAGGAAATGTAGGTCTGCCTTTGGGCAGCAGTTATTTTTGCTTTACTGCCTGGCTTAAAGTTTTCTCCTCTCCTGCTCTTAGCAGGTGAACCAGGAAGTGAGCCGGCAGCTGCTCCAGGATGGGTATCACCTGGATGAGATTCCAGATGATGAGGACTTGGATCTCATCCCTCCCAAGCCTATGGCCTCTTCAACATGTTCCTGCTGCTGGTGCTGTCTTGGGGACTCTTCCTCCTGTACCCTCCAGTAGACATAAGCCCCCAAGATGGGCCCTGCTCACCATGCCTGCAGAGCCCTTTTGGCCCTTCTTAGGTCACAGAGTGCAGTGGGGACTGCTGTCAGCCTCAGAATCACTGGAGGCACTGACCCTCTGGGAAGGTCAATGACCTATAGTTACCCCTTACCTGGTGCTTCTCAGGCCAGAGGCCCCCCATCTGGGCCATAGGGTGATAGGTGGAATTCTGCAGTTTTCCTCTGCTATTGGAGCAGAGTTTGGAGAAACCACCTTTATAAGGGCAGGAACAGATGAATTCTGGTTCTTGTGGTCAGTGGCAAAGCTGGCTAAGGAAAAATTGCAAACATCTTGACAGGTATTTGTCATGCTCTTTGGAGGGAGAAAGCTTTTGTGCCCAGCCTATGCTGGATGGTGTATGGAAGCAGAAAATAGCACTTTATGGCTTTCAGTTTGGGAGTCTGAAAAAGAATAACTATATGGGACCAGTTTAAGAAATTGCATATGCTCTCCTCTTCCTGGCTCCATGATGGGTTACGTGCTTGACACTCAAGAAAGCATAAAGCAGGGCCCTTTGGCTCTCTTCCCTTGTGCCTGTTTGGCTATGGCAGGGAGTACAGCAGGTTGCTTGATGGCACAGCAGGATCAAGACTTTCAGAATTCCTGGATCCAGAGCATCTCCAACTGGCTCAAACTGTCTGGGTAGGTTTAGTGACTGTGGTCAGCCCACCCTAGTTAGAGAAAAATTGCTCCATTATGTACATATTTATTTATTTATCTTTCCTTGGTGGCCATTCTTTGCCTTGTTGTTAGCTAGTTCAATACACTTTTTTGAATGTAAAGGTCAGGTGAAGGGCCTGGAGCTTGCCCCAGAAGCCTGCAGGTTTGGGTTACCAGCAGAGGGAGCTGCAGGGAGCAGTCAGGTGCCTTCCTATTGAGCTTTTTAAACTTGAGAATAGCGATGGGTGAGTAGTCGTACAGTTGTGTGGGCTGTGATGTAGTCAGAGGCTCGCAGGATGGAGAGGAGGGACCCATTACAGCTTCCGAGAGCCTGCCTGAGGAGATAATATGCCATTGCAGAGGGTTTCCCTTCATCCAGCATGGGCCTCACGGCAGATACAGAGGATTGGGCTTCACGGTAAACCTCTGGTGCCACGCAACCCTCAGAGTAACACAGCTGGGACAGGCCTAATCTCCCCAGTGAACACGCCGGCCCCCTGCCCCCAGTATCTCATGCATCTCATCATCTCTTGCCATCCCAGTCCTCTCTAGAATTTAGTTTTCAATGCTTTTTCTTTTCTTTTTCCTTTTCTTTTTTTTGGCCTCACCTAGAGCCCCGGTGAGGATTGAACGAGAGTGGACACAGTTCCCAGCCCAAGGGACATGATGGTCAGGATTGGGGTGTGGGCCCACATGGGAAAGTACCTGGTCTGTTACTTCATTTGATGTCGTGGCCTCTAGAGGTATGAGGAATGACATGGACTCTTGCTCTACCACATGAGGTGATTGGACGGCTGAGAAGGTCCTTATTTGTTAGGTGTAATCTAGTAGCATCACAGCAGGAGGGAGATGGGACAGATGCCAGAGGCACCTCGAGTTAGGGTCTGGAGGATAGGGGACACAGATGCTCCCGAACGGGACAGGGCGATGTCACACAGGTGCCTCACATTCTGATAGCTTTGTGCAAATGCCCACAGGCATTTGAAGATGTGAGAACATCCTCATCCTGAACCCTTTGCCCATCCACCAAAGACTATTCAGGCCTTTCTGGTTTCTGCAGACACATGAAGAGAGGCCCCGGTGTAGGGCAGTGTAAAGAAACTGGTGGTGGCAGGAAACCCAGTGGGGGCCAGAAAGTGCTGTGGAAGCCCAGGGGGGCCACATTTCTGTGGGGGAATTGGTTAGGAGAGGGTAGCTGAGCATTTGGCAACAGCTGTGGTGAAGGCAGCAGGGCCCTAAGATGGACCTCCAGCTGGTAGTTACTGTAAATCAACACTGATGTATTTGCCTGCATCTGTTCCTGGAGAGGATGTTCCGGAACTGGTTACTCCGTGTAGAAGGCATTACCTTTGAAGTTTTAGGAATAGGGTAGCAAGGCAGGGTAGAAACAGTCTCCTGTTTGGGGCCAGAGGTCCCAGGCTAAAATGTCACCAATAAAGGCACCAAGGTGCCTAGAGCCAAACTGCCTTAATTCAGAGTGCTGGATATTCTGCAGATGACAGTGCCCTGGGGAGAGAGGGGTGTATTTGCACTTACCTCACAGAGGGGAGTATGTGTATGGTGTTTACAGAGTACTCTACAGAACTTTTGGCTTAGGCTTCTACAGCTCTGGGGGTTTCTAAGAATAAACACAATCATGCTAGTAGTTAAGTCGTCTCTGTGTTACAATAGGATTTTAAAGAAAGCCCTAGACCACAGCCTTCTGAAATGAAGAAACAGCCTAATAGCCCCAACTGTGACCATTCGTCCTAGGACCTCTTGTTCCTACTATTCCCAATGGGCATCATTTTCAGGCCTGTGTCATTGGAGACCATGGATGGAACAGGCCTTTGCACAGCACTTCTCTTTAGACTGCGTTCCCTTTGACAGACCTTTTCTTCCCAGGTCATTTTTGGGTTTTAGCTGAAGAAAACTTGGAGGCCAAAAAAAAGACACCCCAGAACAGATTGGCCAGAACTTTTTTGAAGGTAGTTTCCTAGATTTCCATTGTATAGGAGGTCTAGTGTGGGCAGTAGCCCAAGAAGATCCTTTTGTGCTAGTCTAAACCCTTACCCCACAGGAAGGAGCCAACAGCCTGGCTCTCTGCTAAGTCTGAGGTGACAGGATCTCGGACTGCAGACAGGATCTCGGACTGCAGTCAGGTACTTCAGTGGCAGAACCGACAGCTGTGCCACCTCTTGCAGACTAGAGGAGGGTAGGCACGGGAAGAGCAGACGCTCTATGTATTTCCTGCCAGTTTAGAAAAAGTAGCTAGGTTTCTCTTCACAACACAAATTGGATTGCCCTGACCCCAAATCCCTGTGTATACAGTGACTGAATGTGCTCTAGAGAAGTGGCTGACAAACTCGGAAGGGTTGGTCCGTATGTTTGGTGTTGCAGGCCCTACAGTCTGGTGCATTTACTAAATTTTGCCACTGTAGCCTGAAAGCAGCTGGATGGTATGTAAATGACAAGTGTGGCCAGCTCCAGTCTGCTGGCCTTAACATGCTGATCCTGGCCCTAAGGCCAACTGAAACATTGGAGAGGAGAATCTTACACTGACAGTACCTGTCTTTAGATCCACCTTCCCCATATGTAGGACTCAAGGCCTGCCTGCAAGCTCTGCATCTAAGGCTGAAGCCGGCTGCCCTTCCTATAAAAGGGCCCTGAAGTCCAGCCTGCCCTCCACAGGGAGCTCTTAGACGCAGAAATTAAAGCAAAAACTGGACATCCAGAAAGGGCTCTATCCTCAACAGTAAAGGTTGACTGCTCTCCATCAGCCTCAACACAGTGATCTTTAATTGCTTTGACAGAGTCAGAGGGTGGCAATGAGTAATGAGTCCATAGGCCTACTCTTTTCCTTCCTTTGCATTTGAGGAAATGGGCAGTCCCAGGGCCAGAACCCTGTTCTTAGAAATGGCCTATCCTTTTGCTGTGAGTGATGCTGAAATAGTACTAGATTTTAGCAGCCTGCTTAATGCCATAAGCTGGAACAGCTGCTGCCTCCTGCCTTGAGGAGAGCCTGGCTGAGGTATGGTGAGAATACAAGGGGAGTGTCTGCTCTTAGTTCTCATCGGGGTCCTTCTCCCAAGAGAAAGATGACGGTTTGTCCTAGGCTTGCTCAGGAGGCACTACCTTCAAGCTTGCTACTCTCCCCCAGCTCTTCCAGGGCACACCCAAGTCCAGAACAGGGAAGGGTTTGAGCTGGGCCTGAGAGGCTGGCTAGGATTTAGGGTAACTGTCGGAGGAGAGCCAGACAGGCTGTGGTCTCTACAGCAGGCAGCAGGCTCGGAACATCAGCAGGTCATCGGGCACAGTGAGCTTCAGTGAGACGCTCTCATTGGCCCCAATGAAGAGCACCCCACCACGCTGCAGGGGGATTGGTGTCTGGGCTGTGGGAGTGCTGGCTGTCACTCTTCCCTGTACTATCAGGAGGATGCTGGCCGAGTCCACTGCCAAAACCTTGTATTCAGTGATGGAGCCAGGGACCTGGGCAAAACAAACAGCAGGATGATGCGCTTCACTTTCTGTTCCTATCGGCTCACAGTGGGCCCAGGACAACCCCAAAGACAGTGAGAGGAGCGGTCAGTTATCTTCTTCCCCGCTGCTCAGGCTCTTGTCAGCATGGAGGCCCACATCCAGTCTCTGGTACAAAGAAGAGTGGGTAGGTTCTGTGGCTATGCCTCCCGTACCCCCCACCAAGTGAGCTTAACAGAAAGGAAAACCAGCCCCAGGTACACTCCACATTGTGGACCTTGCCAGGGTTTTTCTTTTTTTTTTTTTTATGTTTATTTTAGAGAGAGAGCATGAGCAGGGGTGGGTGGCAGAGAGAGACAGAATCCAAAGCAGGCTCCACACTGCACAAAGCCTGATGTGGGGCATGAACCATGAGATCACCACCTGAGCTGAAGTCCAATGCTCAACTGACTGAGCCACCCAGGCGCCCCTTGCCAGGCTTTTTCATGCCACACAAAGACAATCATCATAGCTGCCACCATCCCCACCCTCCCCACTCACCTCCATCTTCATGACAGTGAAGTCTGGCACAGGGGGGTTATAGATAGAGAGGTAGGGGTCTTCTTGACTCTGTGTTGGAAGAAAGAGCCTGTCCTTGCTGGGGGTATAGTTGAGCATTTCACACAGAGTTGGCACATCGATGAACTTGGGTGTCAAGCCAGCACGAACAGTATTGTCTGAACACGCCATGCACTCCACACAGTCTAGGGATAGATAGTTGTCATGCACTAACCTGATGAAGGATGCCTTGAATTTAGACTCTCCAGGGCTGGGCCTCCTAACGTTGGGTAAAACGTGTGAAATGTATAATCTGGGAGAATGGGCTAAGATATGAGATACTAAATACAGGTAGTAGGTCACCTGCATATTGTCAGTCACGTTAGCCCCTGGGGGAGCCCCAACCCTCCCCAGACTATTCTACCACAGAATCCTGTCCATGAGTGGACAAATAGCCAAGAGTCAAAATGTGACACCTTTCTGTGAGAATGTATTTTCGCATAAAAATCTCTGGGTAAAGACACATGTAAAGGTAGCATAACGTAGGGGAGAGAACAGCAGCCTCATCCAATATAGCCTGGGTTCAAATTGTTAACCACACATGCACACAAGACTCAGCGTGAGAGTACTGGGACCTCAAAGGGTGTGAAGAGTCAAGCAGTATATAACACAAAGCTGTCGTTCTCCATCCCTACTGGTTACTTCCCTGCCCACCCCAGGAACCCTGGGAGGTCAGAGCTGGATGGGACCTTAAAGGTCTCTCCTTGACCACCTCCTCCCCTTTTATCTAAATGAGGAAGCAAGGCTTGATAGGCTTGGTAGACTCACTGCTAAAACGTTGCTCATCTAGGGGCGCCTGACTGGCTCAGTTGGTGGAATGTGCAACTTTCGGCCTTAGGGTTGTGAGTTTGAGCCCCACATTGGGTGTATAGATTATTTAAAAAAAAAATCTTTAAAAGAAAATGTGACTCACCTCCTTTCAGGTAGGCATGGGGCACATTGGCCTCCAGAAACATGGCCTCTCCTGGCTTCAGGGTAAGCAGGTTCAGGAAGTAGATGGCAAAGCATCCAATATCACCTGGATACTGCTGATGCAGCTGCAGCAAGAGCTCCCCATTGATGTCCTCCATGTTGTTTCCAGCAGCCACTGAGGGTCACAGAGTGCCCCAAGGCCATTTAGGAACCCCCAGTGGTGTTTACAGCCCCACCACGGCCACGAAGTCCTGGGGAAGTCCCTACCCTCAGAAATCTAGAAACTGGTGGGTGTGTCTGTCTAGCCACATCCCCACCCTTTGTAGGCTGGCCTTCCTTGATCTTCCAGCCCACAGAGGTGCCATTTTCCCTTGTTCTGACCGTCTATATGCTCAGAATTACCCTAGCCACTGGAAGAGCTAAGGTTTGGGGCCAGATAATCCTTTGTTGTGGAGGCTGTCCTGTGCATTGCACTATGCTTAGCAGCATCCTTGGCCTCTACAACCAAGATAGCACTAGCACCCCAATCCATGTTTTGAAACAAAAAATGCTCTAGACAGTTGCCAGTGTCCCCTAATTGAGAACCACTGCTGTAGAATCTCAATCTATTTAAGGGATAACCCAAGAGTTCCATGCGGAGTGACCAACTACCCCAGTTGGCCCAGGCCTTTCCATTTCACAGCGCTGAACATAACATGTCTCAGAAAAAGTCCCAGACAAACCAAGATGGTTGATTACCCCAGAGAGCAAGAGGCAGAATGAGCCCAGGGTCAAAACTGTGTCCTGGAGACTGACCAGGGTAGGGAGACCTCAGCCTGGGCTAGATTAGTGAGGGAAGTCTTGGAAATTGGGGCAGGGGAGGGTGGTGAGCTGAGATTTCTTGAGTGTGCAGAGAAGTGGGGAGGGCATGAGTAAGTAAAAGCTGAATGTGTCAGTGTCACAGTGAAGGAACTGGCTGCTCTGGATTGGAGGGTGGTTCTGAGCCTTCATACACAGACATGCTGAATGTCTGTTCTGTGCAAAGCACTGGGAACACAGTCTCAAGGAGACAGATTCCTGGCCTGGAGAAAACCCAGGTGATGCATGTGGTGATATAGACTCACAGGTGCTACACCTCACATATCAACAGGATGTCCTGGGAGCTCCCAGCAAGAGTATCCCATTCTGCCGTGAGTGCCACTTGGAGCACTCTGAATGCCTCTCACACCCTCCAGCGATCAGCAGCCCAGAGGCTTACCGCCCGCAATCTTGGGTCTCAGTATTCATTCATTCGGTCCTTCACAGGACACAGATTTACTGAGAACCGGCAAAATATCGTGGGATGTTCTAAGGGCTGGTGATGATCCAAGAACAAGATAAGGATCCCTTTCCCTTTGTAGAGTTTAAATTCTGGCGAAGGGAGAATGGGCAAATAGGTATAAAGGGGAGGCATGCAAGCAGAAACACCAAAAGCAAAAGAATCCAAAGAAAACAGTATGTTTGGGTAAAAGAGCTCCCTATGGCTCAGAGGTGACAGGAGAAATGTGTAGGGAGCCAGAAGAGCTCTGGGGTTGCCTGGAGAAGGGGCTGGGGCCTCATCATGTGTGTCACATAAGCTCAGAGCTGGAATCCACTCTGCCTTGTTTTATACTGCTTGTACTAACCTCCAGACCCAAATGTGACAGCCACACCCATCAGTCATTTCCTGAACCCTCCTTAGTTAGCACAAGGCTGGGCACGGAGCAGCTATTTAAGGAAATATATCTCTATCTATCTATCTATCTATCTATCTATCTATCTATCTATCTATGTATCTATCTATCTATATCTATATATGTAATTAAAAAAAGATCTGATTGAAAGCTCTGGGCTTCAGGCCTTTGGAGAAGAGGAGGATGAGCATCCCCATGTCCCCTTCCTACTTTCTAGGCCCAAAGTATAAATCCATCCATGGAGAACAACTGTAAGGCTGGGGAAATCTCAGAATGCCTAGGTGGAAGACCTCCTAAAAGTCCTCCAGGCCACTCTGTCTCCAGCCGTCTAGAGAAACAAAGACTAGGAAAGAAACGCTCAGTTACTAACAGACCATCGAAGTCATCTAAGGCCCATTTTGGTGATGCACTTTGAGCAGAGAGGTTGAGAACCCTGTCCTCCTCAGTGCCCGGTGCCCATGCTGGGGCAGTGCAGGCCGGGGGCACCGCACTGCCTACAACACCCACCTTGCTGGGAGATCCGCTTCACCAACAGGTTGAGCTGCTCCATCACCACCTTCTTCTCGCTCTTCATCAGGTGGGAGAAACAGCTCTGCAGAGCAGAGGCCACACACTGGGAGTCACTGCTCAGGCTCTGCTTCAGCTGTGTTGCTGCATTATCTCCAATAAGAAACTGGAACTCGGGCACCTCTGCAGGAAGGCCATGCCAGGGCCCGTATCAGGAATGGCAAGGTGGAACCCACACGAGTGGGAAGTCGGAAGAGGCCTCCCTATCCCATCCCTAACCAAGGAGCCAGACAATGCTAAGCAAACTTTGAGGTGGAAACCAACTGCTTGCCACCAGCCCTACCAACCATACCTGAGCCTGGTCTCACAGGTCCACCCCAGTGGATTCATAGGGCCAGGGGCGCCTGAGTGGCTCAGTAGGTTAAGCATCCGACTTCGGCTCAGGTCATGATCTCACGGCTCTTAGGTTCGAGCCCCACATCAGGCTCTGTGCTGACAGCTCAGAGCCTGGAGCCCGCTTCAGATTCTGTGTCTCCTCTCTGCCCCTCCCCTGCTCAGGCTCTCTCTCCTTCAAAATAAGTAAACATTAAAAAAAATTAAAAAAAAAAAATTCATAGGACTAAGCAGCCCCTCAATTACTGTGACACTTAGCCTCTGTTCTCTGCCCCTATTCCAGTTCTGCCCTGGGTTGCCTATGCACCGTAGGCCCAATATGCATGTTCTATTTTGCCCAGTCTTACTTGTCAGAAACGTCACAATTTCCTCAACTGGCCGGAAGCCACATAAACCCTGGAAGGAGGTGAGGGCAATGGCTATCTCTGGCTTATGGTTGGCATCGGGGTAGTGCTGTGGAGCCTGGAGGTGCAATTTCTCTGCCAGCTCCTGTGGGATGGCGAAGGGAAGAGGAGGATGGTCAAGGTGCAGTCATCATACCTAGCAGGACACCAGTCCCACCCAGCCCTTGCTCTCTACCCGCCCTGGTCACCAGATAGCAGTGGCTTCATACTTTTGGCAATGAGCCCAGTCAGGGCATAATGCAGAAACTCAGGGCCTGGACTGCAAATCAGGAAACCCCAACACCAAGTCAAGCTCAGACACTAACAAGCTGTGCAAGTTTGGTTAAATCCCTGTCTTCTCTGGGTCTTACTCTGCCCATCTAGAAATGAGAAATTTGGACACACAAATGCCTAGGAGTTGGGGCAATAGTTAGGGTGCCTGCCTTACCCTGGAAGGCAAGTCCTGGGCTGGATGAGGGGAACCCAGGAAAGAGCATGGAGAAACTCCCTGGGCACAGGCTGGTCAGCTGTCCGCTTAGACTTAGCTGCCAGCATGTGTCACCAGCATCTGGCCTTCCAGAGCTAAATTGGGAGTCGTCAAGCCTGAATTTAGCTTTGGGCTGGACTGTGGCACGTGGGTGGGGTAAAAGCAGCAGTAAAAGTAGTGGGAGGGCCTTGACCTGAGTTCTTCTGTACCCCGACCTCTGCACTCCACTCTAATCCTGTACCTTGTTAGGGTGTGCCTGGATGGACAGGGCAGTTTCAACCGAGAGCACTTTGAAGAGGAAGGGCAGCTTGCCATTAAAGGTGTCCTTGACCTTTGAGCCCAAGCAGTCCTGGTTCTCAGCGATCCACTGGCCTAGGGTCTTCTGTGAGATGCGATTGTCAAGGATCTTGGCATCTCCCCGGGGATGGCACCCCATCCACAACTGGAAAAACATAAAACTTGGGAGGGAAAAAGGAAAAACCGGACACCACCAACCTGAATCCTGAGACAGGCCTCCCAGGCCTGGGCATAAATGCTCATGCCATCACAGACATACAGGAAGGCAGCAGACCCCAGCATACCAGGAGTCAGGAGACCCAATTCAGGCTTTGCCCCCAACCGGCTGTGGAAGCCTGGGTTGGTTATTTCTGATCTCTTGGTCTCGATTTTCTCATCTGTCCAATCAGGAGAATGACACCTGCACTGTCAAGGTCACTAAAAAGCTCTCAAATGCCTCTGAGAAGGGTTAACATTCATTTATTCCAATCTCAGAAGTAGAGGCCTTTGGCCTTATACTTTGGCTTTATCTCACCTAAATAAATGGGCAGGAAAAATACATATTTTAGGTTATTAAGATGTAAAAGTCAAAGTTTTAATTGTCAAAGAGGGCTGAATTAAAATTCAGTAAGTGCTGGTAGTTCTTGGGGGAAGGAAGATACCAGAAATCCCAGCCAATTATGACAAAACCTCTCTTCTTTTGGTGCTACCATCTGGATTCATTGCCTGCCCAGATCTGAAGAGCCAAGAGGGCTTCCCTCCCTCTTTGCTGCCTCCCTCTCCCAGCTGACCTAAATGATTTGCCCCAGGCCCTCTGAGTGAAGGAATCCCTTGGTCTCACCTGCTGGTAAAGTCAAACACAACCCAGGTCTCACCTCTGCATATGGCTTGTCCTCTGAGATCTGGGCCAGCGGGTCACTGCTGGCCAGCAGCCGAGCCACTTCACTGTTAGAACCTGTCTTCCCCCAGGCATACTGCTGCACCACACCTGAAAGGGGGAATACTGGGGGCATAGAGAGTGGGTCAGCTTCCACCCCACTCCTGAGGCCTGACCCTACTGTCTTGGGGAAACTAGACACGAGCTGAGGGTTTTGTCTGGGGGACAGTCATATAAGGGGTTTGTAGGTCGTTAGTTGAGACCCTTCTCCGCAGGCCTCGATGTTCCCATCTGTAAAGCGGGCAGTAAGGCTTTTCCGCGGACATGAGTCAGGTAGATGCGCTGAGGTGACGAGGAGGAAGCGGGAGGAACCTATTGGACAGCACCCCGTCTCGAAGTGACCCATGCGCGGCCCCTCCCCGCCAGACCCTCCTTCAAGCGCTGAAATGGCTCAATCCCCATCGCAGGTGCCCCCTCCTCTGCCCAGAGCCCATCCATCTTTTCGCGGAGCCGCAAGCCTGGGTCCCACCTGGCATTTCAGGTCGGGAAGGTTCCCCGCGACGCGACCCTCCCCAGTGTCCTCAGCAACACAGCCGACAGCCCACCTTGCTGAACTGCCATCCTCGCGGTACCGGACCTGGCTTCTGGCACGTATGCACTTCCCGACAGCACCCGCAACGCCCCTGACCCAGAGCTTCCTGGGAAATGTAGTTCCTCGAGTGCCTCCTTGGAGGGCCGTTTGCCGGGGGTGGCCACTGGGAGCACTCTCAATGCCTCTCACACCCTCCAGCGATCAGCAGCCCTGAGGCTTACCGCCCGCAATCTTGGGTCTCAGTATTCATTCATTCGGTACTTCACAGGACACAGATTTACTGAGAACCGGCAAAATATCGCGGGCTGTTCTAAGGGCTGGTGATGATCCAAGAACACGATAAGGATCCCTTTCCCTTTGTGGAGCTTACATTCTGGTGAAGGGAGAACGGGCAAATAGGTATAATAAATAAGCAAGTCATATAGGATGTTGAGAGATCAGTGCTACAAAAAGTGGGGGTGGGAGTAGGAAGCACTTTGCAGAATTTAAAATATCTAGGGAAGTCTTATTGAGGAGAGGAGGTTTGAGCACAGACTTGGAGGTGAGGAGGAATATTCTGACAGAAGAAACTGCTTGAGCAAAGACTACGGTGGGAACATGGGAATGTGTCTGTTATATTTTGGAATAAATAGCAGAGAAGCCAATGTGGCTGGAGCAGTGAGCATGTGTGTATATGTGTGTGTGTGGGGGGGGGTGGTACACGTGAGGTGGTCAGAGAGGAAAGGCAGTGCACAGAACTCTGCAGGCTATTGTGAGAACCTCAGATTTTACTGAGTAGCTCAGTCAGTAGCAAAGAATTGCTGTGATCTAAGAAGGAACTCAGTGATGCTTGATGATGTCAAATGTCACATGCAAGGCCCTTAACCTGAGCTTCAGTTTCTTCCTCTATAAAAGGGAGATAATAATGCCAGCCTAACAAGTATGTTGGAAGGTGAGATGAGATGATGTGGGATGCAGGAAGGCAGTCAGCGCTCCATGCTCCTTTGATCCTCCCTGCCTTAAGTACTGCAGGACACAAAACCCCAGCCCCTCCTCCAGGCTGAGCTGCTCACATGTCAAACACACGGAAGTCAGGGAGAATCACCAGGAGCTCGGCATGGTGAAGGCTGGGCTGGGCCTTGTTTGTGGAGTAATCATGGGGCACCTGGGTGACTCAGTCAGTTAAGCGTCCAACTTCGGCTCAGGTCATGATCTCACCGTACATGAGTTCCAGACCCGTGTCAGGCTCTGTGCTGATGGTTCAGAGCCTGGAACCTGCTTCGCATACTGTGTCTCCTTCTCTCTCTGACTCTCTCTCGCTCTCTGTCTCTCTCTCAAAAATAAACATTAAACATTTTTTTTAAAATAAATCCTCTGGAGGGGCACCTGGGTGGCCCAGTCGGTTAAGCGTCCAACCTTGGTTCGGGTCACGATCTCACAGCTCATGAGTTCGAGCCCCGAGTTGGGCTCTGTGCTGACAGCTGAGAGCCTGGAGCCTGCTCTGGATTCTGTGTCTCCCTGTCTCTCTCTACCCCTCCTCTGCTCATGCTGTCTCTCTCTGTCTCAAAAATAAATGAACATTAAAAACATTTTTTTTTAAATAAATCCTCTGGAAAAAGGTTCCGACGTCTGGACCTCACTCAGCAGCCCAGGAGGAGCGCCACCAGCTGGGGCACCTGGAATGAGAGCTACAGTCCTGACTCTGCTTCCCCACCCCACCACTAATTCTCACAGCTTGTACCTCACATGCCCAGGGGGAAAAGGGGGTGCTCTTTTCCCTGCCCAGCTGTGGACATTGACCTCTCCTGGGGTCCCCTGGCTCAGGTAAATCAGCCTGCGTTTCAAAAGAAGCTTCACCATATACTGAGGAATAATAAAATGGAAAACACAAGAATCCTACAAACAGCACATCTCACATACCTCCTACCTTTGAATACCTTTCCTTTACCTCGTTCCAGCTCCTCCAGCTTTATGAACCTTCCAGTGTAAGAATGAAGGATTAGTTTAGGCACGGAGGTGGGGTGGGCAGTGTTCTTGGAGCACCTCCCCCACTACCACCACTGAAGCCAGAGTTAGAGTCACTCCTTCATAGTATCTCTACACAGGGAAGAAAGAACTTAGATCTTTGGGACAGATAGAGCCCCACCCCACTCCACTCTTACCTTCCTTACACACAGAAAAATCTATCTGCAAGGGAGACTGGTATGTTTGGAGACCCTAGAACCTTTCACCCTTACGTCTTGCTTGTCTCTCTAGTAGAACGGATCACGCTTTATTATCTAGTGATGATCTGCTTTCTTTTCTCTTTTCCCTACTAGACCTTATATGTAATCCAGCTTCATATTTATGCCAGTACCCAGCTATAGCTCAAGCTATAACAGCAGCTGACATCTATTTTGCTATGTACTAAATACTGTGCTATGCCCTTTTCGAAAATTGTCTCATTTCATTCTCAACATAGCCTATGAGATAAGTAGTGCCCTGAGCCCCATTTTAGAGATGAGAAAGATAGGTCTTGGAGAAGTGAAGTAACTGCTCTAAGAGTACAGAGTGCCAATATGCTATACCTCTTCCCCTGTTGAATAAGTGAATGAGTAAATAGTTGCATGATGTCTCTTTCACAGAGAAGTGGATAGATCCCAGAGGTCTTTAGAGACAGATGGGTAGGCAAGCTCCACATTGGTGATACCAAGTTCCATTCTTTCTTCATCAGCCCAGCATTGTACTAGGCTGAGCAGACAAGGAGGAAGCAGGCTTGCTTCATGTTCTGTGGCCTGTTCTTTCAGGCTGCAGACAGCAAAGATCTCTATGCTGCCTACGATGATGTTGTGGTAAAATGAGTTCCTGGCCAGAGCCTCTAAAACCTTTGTAATGTCCTAAGCAATCAAAGTGTTAGAGACATCTTTTGTTTCAATATTTGGCCTTTGACCCCCAGTTCCTGACACAGAGCTCCTAAATCCTTTGGAATTTCCTGGGTGACCACAGCAACTTTGGTCCTAAGGAGGCACCTCTTATTGGGCTCCTGGATAGCTTTCAGGATGGAAGGCCAAGCCATGAGTAGAAGCTTGGGAACTTCAGCCCTGCCTCTCCCATCCTCTGTCCTCTGGGGAGGGAGAGGGGAGAGATTAAATTAACAATCAATCATGCCTACATGATGAAGCCTCCATTTAAAAAAAAAAAAAAATCCCTGAACTAAAGGGCTTGGAGAGCTTCCGGGTGGGTGATCACATCCGTATGGCAGAAGGGTGGCACGCCCAACTCCACAGGGAGGAGCTCCTGTGTATCTCTTCAACTGGTTGCTCATCTGTATATCCTTTATCATACAACAAACCAGTAAAAGTTCCCTGAGATCTGGAAGCCAGTCTAGCCAGTTATCGAACCTAAAGAGGGGGTCATGGGAACCCTGGTTTATAGAAGTACCGGTGACAACCTGGGGCTTGGTATTGGCATCTGAAGTGGGGACAATCTTGTGGAATGAGCTCTTACTTAACCTGTGGGTTCTGATGCTAACTTCAGGTAGACAGTGTCCGAGCTGAAATGAATGCTACTGAGCTAGTGCCAGAAAATTGGTTAATGTGAGGAAAAGGAAACCCACGTTTGGTTACAGAAGTGTTTGGTGTGAATATCAAAGGAGAAACCCAAGAGTGTTTCTCTACACTGCCCTCAGAGGAGTGGTCGTGGGGGGTTAGAGCTAGATAATTTCTAAGGGCACACAAACGTCGACTCTTTTGCTTTCTCTTGCTTGAGGAAATTTCCCTGGAGAAAAGTTGAACAGGGCCGTAAAGGATAGTTGGAATTTAGACAGGGAAGAGGAAGGTAAGAAAAGTGAATGATGGTAAGAATAAATATTTACTAAATGCCTATCATGTGCTCAGTACACTGCTAGTGCCAGAACACCAACAGTGAGCAGAACAGACCCTACTCCTGCCCTTCTGGAGCTTACAGTCTAGTGGGAGGGAGAGCAATAAACAAATAACCACCTATACAAGTGTATACTTATAATCTGCAATACGTATTGTGAAACAAAACTATAGGGTAATATAAGCATTTGTTGTGGGGGAAGGAGCGGATCTAACCTATTGAGTAGAGAGGCAACTCCTGAAGAAGAGGCTTCTGAGCTTGGGTAAAAGGATAAATTGGGGTTAACTAGCCAAGGATGATGAAGGCATGGACTAAAGAGCATACCAGGAAGAGGGAACATCATGGGCAAAGGCCCGCAGGCAGGAGGAAACAAGGAATGTTTGAGAAACTGAAAAGCCACTAGGAAGGCCCGAATGCATGAGGGTGGGCACAGGAAGGAGTGGGAATAATAGATAGTTGGGGGCAGATCCTATAGGACCTAGAGGCCACACCAAGAACTTGGGCCTTTATGGAAAATAAGTGAATGACTTTAAGCAGAAACGTTTATAATAATATATTGTTTTAGAGGAATATTTGTATAATAATATTTTGTTTGTTTATTTATTTACTTATAATAAAGAGACAGAGAATGAGTAGGGGGAGGAGCAGAGAAAGAGGAAGACACAGAATTCAAAGCAGTTTCCAGGCTCTGTGCTGTCAGCAGACCCTGATGCAGGGCTCAAACTCACGAACTTCAAGATCATGACCTGAGCTGAAGTCCAACACTTAACTGACGGAGCCACCCAGGTGCCCCTATTTTGTCCCCTTTAAAGAGATCTCGGGTAACAACATGAACAACAGTAGACCAATTAGCAGCCCTGTACCAGTCCAGGGGAAGGAATGACAGTGGCTGGATTTGGTGGCAGCAAAGATGAACAAAGCAGAAAGTGTGAAGAAATAAGGGTAGTGAGATGTGAATCGGCCATCTCCCCCATGGCTGATGGCTCTATTGCTGAAATTCCTCATTCACTAACACATGCTTGATGCCCTGAGTCAAATCCCAGAGCAGGTCCTAAACCTGTCTCAGGGATCCTCATCCCTAAAACCATAAAACTTGACAGCAGGGGGCAAGACCTAAAAAGAGTCAGGACTCAGCATGTGTGTGGTGATGAGAGAGATTAAGGCAAGCTGAGAGCAAAGTACAGGCTAATAGCAGCCCCCATCCCCAGGTGGAATATGTGCGCTATTC